CTAGGCATCGTGATCTCACAGCGCAAAGGAATGGCATCCAGCACCCATATGAACACTTTGCATCGTAGGATCGATGAAGCCGAGATCATAGATACGCCAAAAGACAATCTCGAAACACATCAAGAACTCAGGTGGGCGCAACCTACAATGAACCCCCAGAAGCATCAAGCCTCTTTGCAGTCTCTGCTGCATAAAGACTCCTAATCTTCATTGGAGGACTTGAAACCGAATCTTGACTATGCAGTGCCCTCAAGAAGAAAGTTTGGGCAGAGGAGCTCAAGCCCCCAGCATGAAACAGGTCTGTCCCTGCTTGCCGAACCGCAACATCAAAGTCAAGGAGTCAACGAGTCAACGCCAGTCAACACACTAGGATCCACGGCACATGGCACGCAGGATAACAGACCTGTCCTCCGTGCTTGTCCAGCCCGGCTTCTCAACCCAGATGGGAGTGTACTGACATGTATTGAACAGCATATTTCACATTGCAAGTGCGTATAGTGATTGATGAAGGTGATGAAGGTGAGCCGCCGAGTGGATCACACATGGCTGCTCCCTTGCTGGCATCTGCGCAGGGCAGGACATCTCTGTTCCATCGAGTTCGTCACACTGTCCCCACCAAGTGTTTAATTTCTGGCCTGCGCGGCTGGCATGGCGAACCCTGACTCGAACTTCAGCAGAGAAAGTTTCAAGGCTGCCGGACTGATGTCCCAAAGCAATTTTACAGGGCAAGGTCCAATCAACTCCAAAGTTGCAAGCTGCTCGTTGAACATGTGGATACAGAAAAAAACCGTGAGTAGTTTCTTACACCTAGACTTCAACGCTGGAAATCGGGGCCTCGCCGCTGTCTGAGGCAAAAACCGCACAGAAGTCTTGGTGCTTCTGTTGACCGCGCTGTGCTCGTGCTGATGAAGGCAGTCGCGCCGGTCATAACTCCAACTGCTGTCCGCCCACTTGCAATCAAAACAAGAAACTCCCTGCACAGGTCATGTAGGCCGGCATGGCCTGGTATCTCAGATGGCCATATGGGGAACAGAAGTTGCATCCGAATTCAAGCTGCTCTTTGAAGTTTACACAAGCAACCTCGTTATCAGCTTGTGGCTAGGCCTTCCCACGAGGGTAGAGGCAGTCCAAACTTCTTCAGACTGGGCGGCACAGAAGCGGTGCAAGCTATTGCACTGCAAAAGAACTTTTTTCTAATTCGGAGGGCGTGAGCTCTCAGACTTTACAAGTCAAGACAAGGCTCAAACTGTGCATTCCGTGGAGTCAGTGTCGACAGTCGCCTGGGCTGCAAGAGCTGATCTGCATCAGCAGATGCGCAGGAGCCCCCGGCCATGTGGAACATGCAGATCAAGAGGCTTCACTTCCGACATCCCTGAGAGTCGGCCGGCTATGCACTCTTAGCCGACAAAGGTTTTGTTAGGGTGGAGGCGCAGGACACCGGACGCGGGACGGCGGAGTGGAGTCGGGGGATGCGTGACGTGGAGGTCGGGGGCTGGAGGTCGGGGGATGCGGAGCGAAAGAGACTGAAAGCTAGAAGCTGATATTATATATAAACCCTATGAGCCCAAAAACCCTAAACAAGGATAAACCCCATGAACCCCCAAAAGCTCTCAACCCTAACAGCCCTAAACCCCATGAATCCAAACAGCCCTGAACCCTACAAACCCCAGAAACCCTATAGACTTAACTGTTCAACCCTAAATAAACCCCAAAAGCCTAAAATATTGAAACCCAAAACCCTATCAACCTTAAAAACTCCAAAGCCCTAAACAATCCGAACCCCCACAGCCTTGCACCCTTACAGGTGATAAGCCCTAGAAACCCCCGAACTAAAGTCGACGCCAAAGAACCCCGAAAACAATAATAAACCCCAAAAGCCCAAAATCCTACGAACCCCAAAGCCCCAAAACCCTTCAAACCCCAAAAGCACCATCACTGCCAGTACCACGACCACGACTACTACGATCACTACAACCACCGTTTATTTAGTCGGCGCTGGATGCGGGAGGCGGGATGCGGGTGACGATCAGTTCAGGCCTACCTGAGAATTCCCCTTGGGGCGAGGAGTCCGAGGAGCCTCATCTGCAGTAGTTTCAGTCCCGGCTGACGGATCTGATGGGCAGTCCAGCTGCTTGGCCTCAACGGAAGGTGAAGGCCCCAGGACCTTAGGACTTCACGGATTTCACGAAGCTTTGGGGCATTTTTCTGGGTTCAGAGTTTAACTCAGCTATGCTTGCTTGCCCGACTGTCCTGTGCTCCTGGCCCGGCTCTCCTATCCAGCCCCAAATCCCGCAGGGTATCCCAAGGAGCCCATCAAGTTGCTTGGTTCGAGATGGAACTTTCAAAAATGTTCAAGATGAATGATAGTAGTTGTCGCTGCTCGGGCCTGAATTCCCGCAGCCGGTTTGCCATTGTAAGTTCCTCCAGCAGCCTTCGTTCTTGCATGTTCTTACATTTCGCTACCATGTTGTAAATAGCGCAGACTCCAGGTGTCCTTGCCTAGTCCCACACTCCCCATGCCAACGTGCGCGCAAAGTCAAAGCTTCGGCTAGAGATTCACGCACTCCCACACAAGACACAGACTTAGCACCTCGGCCAGTTGGGATGGGAGACACCGATACAGAACACATTTGGAGCACTGTGAACACCGGTCTTTGGCTTCCGAGCGTTTCCCAGAAAATGCACGAGAATCCTTTTATATAGCTGACCAGGAGGGGGGTTTTGCCACAAGTTGTGTCAGACGCAACCCCTAATGCTTTTGACACAAAAGTACGAGGCTCAGTAATGGGCAGCAGTGCAAAGTTCACCTTGATGCCGAGTCACGGTTAGCCCCCAAAGCGCCCAGCCGGCAAAGTAGTGTGCCAACCTAACACTTTTGGCAACTTGCACATAGTGCAGTAGACGTGCGTTGGGAAAGGCTGGTTGGAAAATGCTTGCCACGTTTAGGTGACTTGAAACCTATGGTCCAGTAGCGACATCTTCCCTTCAGGTGGCAGTATTGCCATCTGGTCACTCAGCGCCCGCCAGTACGAGGAGGCCCCAACCCGGGAGCAGCACCATGCCTGACAAAGTCTGTTTTCGATGGCGCCAGTTGCTTCCCCTCCCTCGCTCTTCCGACTCTTTCCCGTCGACTCTCAGACTCTCGGATATTGCCGCCCTTGCTCTCTCCTTGTTCTTTCTTTCTTTCTTTTTCTCTTTCTTTCTTTCTTTCTTTCTTTTTTCGTAGGGCTAGGGTCAAGCCCCAGGCGTGTTCGCCCGGCCCTGTTTTCAGGGCACGTCTGTTGGTTGCTGGGCTCTCTCGCTCTTCTCCTTCTTCTTCTTCCACCCAGCAAGGGGCTCCCGAGCGGTCCTGGCCCCGACGGCCCGCTGCCCGGTTCGAAAGGTCCGTGACACAGGTATTCTTCTCTCTCTTTTCTTCTTCTTCTTCTTCTTCCTCCTCTTCTTCTTCCTCCTCTTCTTCTTCTTCTCCTCCTTCTTCTTCTGCTTCTGCTGGGCATGAGGAAGCCCGAAGGCCCCCCCACGCACCAAGGCGCGCCCGAGTGCGAGGTCCAGGTGAAAGTGTTGGCTTTCCCCCCGACGTGAGACGCCCTATGGTTCTCGTGGTGTTTTATGCCTCCCCCGGGAAGTAGTATTGCGGATACATGCTCCACTTTGCCATCGGCTGTGAGATTGTTCTCAGGGTTTCTGGGCGACCGTTTCGCAACGATGTCGAAAAACAAGGCTCCCCTCTCTCAACCCTATACAACGAGAGAGAGTGCGACCCGAAAGCTCCCGGGAAAGACGTGGCGCAGCGTTACATGCAAGCGCTGAAAGTAAAGGCACCTCAACAAGCTACCATGGCCAGCCAACTTGACGGTCTGTGGGGAGCATCCGTAAGCGGTAAATATTCCAGCAGCTTCTGCAGGCCTAGTATCGCTTAAGAGCACGATCCCAAAACCTTACAGGGACTCCAGTAGATCAGGCATGATGAAGCCCCTGACGGTGGGGCCCTCGCTCCTTGACTCGAGTCTTTATCTCCCTCGTTCTCACTCCCGCTCCGATGCTGACCAATCTGCAGCCACTGCCTTGTTTTCGATAGATTGAGGCGCTCAGAACGACGACAACGACACCCAGAAGCAATACCTCGGATCTCAAGGAATGATGATGACCGAAAAGCGCCACTGGAAGGCATCAGGGCCTGAAAATCGTCAACCTTTAACATTCGTTTACATCGCGACTGGTGGCACAGTAGAAGGCACTAATCTGAAGGCCACAAAGCTGGCTTGCTTCGAGCAGCATCTAACATAGCCAGCTTTCTCAATCGCCTTGACAGCTTTACCAGAGAGAAGCTGGCTTCCTGCGACAAGGGGGCCGAGATTCTTTAGATCTTTCCTTTTCCCGGGATGGGCTTTGTCAGGCCGTCTGCAAGTGTAACTTTTAGAGATCCCAGACGTGAGCTTCCCGGAACGTCTTCAATGTTTGGAATGGGCAGCCCAAGCCGATGTGAAGACACAGAGTGACCGGTGCCTTTGCTGCAAAGTCAGCCAGTTAGACGTGAGTGTATTCTATCGCTTTTGACGTTTGAGAGTTTCAGGAGTTGGCGATTCGTGATGATTCTTCGCTAGACCAGGCCCATGGGTTTCAAGTTGAAGGCCGTTTGTCAGCATCACGCGAATGCGCGAAATTGTGATTTAATTTATCCCAGTGTTCTGACGAAGGACAAGAAACAAGTCACAAAATTCCCCGAGGCCAAGAAACATGGAACTACTACAAGCGCACATTGCTGTCGGCCGAGGCCCTTGGCATCGGGCCTAGGGCCTAAGGCGCAGGGAGCGCAACGCCCCCCTGCGAACCCTCTCAAGCGACCCGTTAGAGCCGCTACGCCGCTACGCAAGCGGGGTGAGGACCTCTTGTATAGGCGACCCATCACGACCCCGCCCTAACGATTTCCTAAAGCCTTTGCCTTTTTGAAAGCGTGGAAGGCGACGAAGGAACCCTTGCTGCGTCTTGCATAGGGTTCT